CCGGCAGGCTGRTGTCCCAGGTAAGGACTCAGGGGTGCTCTGGTTGGGCTGGGCTCATCCAGGACTCCTGCAGGCATCAGGATAGGAAGGTCTGAGGCTCCTGGTTGCACACGGTGGGGTGGCTGGCTACTTTGAGAAGAAAAAATCCTATTTTTCTTCACATCCCCACTGAGCTAAAAGGAGCACGGCCCAGTTTGTAGCTTTGTAGGTCACTGAAGGAAAAGGCAGGCTCTGCAGTATGCCTGGAAATGCTCTGTGCCRTGGCAACTCTGCTTCCCTGGGCTCTTAGGAAGAAATTGGTGTGAGAAGCAGGAGGAAGATGACCCCCAGCTGCCCTGGTYTTACTCTTTGAAGCTATGTGGCTGCAACACCACTTCAGACCTTGGGGGAGAAATACTTGTCAGGAAATATGGACATCCTGGAGGAGACCCTGTGCCTGTCAGGAATCTGCTCAGCTCCTGGGGGGATCRGTGTGCTCCTCCATGAGCAGCAACAGGTGCTGCTGCTCCTCCAGGGACTGATTAGATTTCCTTCTACCTTGCTCRGTGGCAGGGAGCTTGAACTAGGAAAAAAGGAGTGGAACAAAGCAAAGCCAAGCAGGTGAGGGAGGGATGGGTCTTCCTGCCTTGCTTGCCAAGTCCTTGGCTCTGCTTGACCCGGCAGCTGCAGGTGGAGGTGGCTGAGCCCCACAGGCCCCTCTGTGGGCACACCTGCAATGCAGGGCTGGGGCAGCACCGKCTGCCTGGCCTGGTGCCCGTGCAGGCTCTGCTGTGCTGGGGAGGTTGGCTGCTCTGGGCGGGCTGCCCAGCACGTGGCACTGGTGCCAGCAAACGGGAYAAGGAGGGTCACATTTGCTCCTGGCCCATTGGGGTGAAGGATGGAGCTCCCAGCACTSCTCCCTGGGCTTTGACAGCAATGTCACCCGGTCCCATGCTGGATGGCAGCTGTCCCAAGCTCCAAGTGAGCAGCCTCTCACTTGTATTTCCCAATTTAGTCACATCCTACCAGCTATAATTGAGCCAATGGAAACAGATAAATCGAGTTCCTTGATGTTGTTCCACTTCCTTGGATCTCATAGCATGTCAGTGAGGCTTTGCCACATGCCAAGGACATGGAGCCTCGTGCTGGCCATTGARGGGACACGTGGGGAGGCTCCTGCCCAGGGGAGAGAAGGGGTTTGGTGTGGCAGCCAGGGCAGTGCTGCAGCTGTGACTCCTCTCAATCTCTGTAACTCCCTTGCTGTCTCCTTTTACACAGATCCAGTGGGAGAAGTCTCCTTCCAAACTACGCTGCTCAGAGGAGCTGCTTCTCTCAGCTGTCAAGGCCTCTGAGCCCTTGCTGTTAGGAAGAGGACAGGTAAATTGTAGCCCACATGAAATACAGCTCCTGCTGTTAGGTGGTGTTACCTTAACTCACTGGATTTATGTAGAGATGCCCTGTGGGTTTGCACCTCAGAGTTTGCTCTTCAGGCTCAGGGCGGGAATGCTGTCATCCTCTGGGCATTGTGTGTCACTGAGGGTGGAGCTGGGGGCTGGGGGCAGTGTGGGCAGCCCTTCCCCTTATTTGGTACCTCAGCACTGCAGCTGAGGCTCTCAGCACAGCACATTCCGGCCCCAAGCTGCCTTGATGAGCTGCTGTGCAGGTGGAGCTGGCAGGAAGATGTTACACCTTGGACTTGCTGCCTGGTCACAGCCTGTCCAGCYTTGGGGMTGCACCCCTGGTTCTGCCYGGGGTGGGTGCTGAGGCYGGAGCMGTGGTGCCACCARCCCCAGCCTYCTCTGTTACCTGTCACCTCCCTCCYCAYGCACTGCACAGCTCCAAGCAGGTGTCAGTGGGAGGTTGGTGTCACCTAAAGGTTTTTGTCCCTGCAGGGCTGCCTGGAGCCATGTCCAACGACCCACCCCCACCGTACCCGGGGGGCCCCTCAGCACCACTGATAGAAGAGAAGCATGGCCCGCCCACTGCACCAGGTACCTGGGGATGTCCCCGCTGCTCAGGGGTGACATTGCCAAACAGACAGAAGCGAAGCAAGTGTGGGTTCCCTGGGAGGGTCCTGGCTGTGGCCTCTCCTCACTGGGGAGGATGGTGTAATGCCCAGTCATGTCTGTCCCCATGTCACCCTTGGGGGAGGCAGGAGGGGTCCCAGAGAACTGAAAAGAGCCAGAAGCACTCCCAGCTCAAAGCCTGGCACTGCTCCCTGCTGCGGGGTGAATTTGGGCTTCTTGTRGCCTAGAGGATGGGGCTTAAGGGGGTGCTCCCCACCTCTCCCTTCCACGTTGGGGTTGATCCCCTTGGCCGTGCAGCCAGGCCAACATCTTCCCCTCAGCTCTGCTGCCTCCCTGGCCACTGACTCTGTGTTTCCTTTCAGAGGGTGTCACCCCAGTTGTGGGACAGCCGCAGGGGGTTCCCATCCCCCCTCCTGAGTTTGGACCCCCCCCATATGAGCCGCCCTCGCAGCCGGGGTTCGTGCCCCCCCACATGCCCACGGATGGCTCTGGGCCCTACGTGCCACCAGGTGAGTCCTGTGAGGGGCTGGGGGACACAGGAGGTAGGGATGGGCAGCAGCACGTTTCCTTGTGCCCTGGGGAGTGGGGGGGACACAAGAGGGGTTGGGGCTGCCATTTGGGGCTTGCAGCGAGGCTCCTCAGGATGGGGTGGGGGGCACAGTGCCTGTAGCAGGGTTGGCTCCAAGTTTGTATTCAAAGGGGGTGGTGTTGCAGCAGTGTTGGGGGCCTCTCCAATGAGGATCTGGCCTCTCCTAACATGTACAAAGATGCTTACTTGTGCATGTATCTCATTCACAGGCGGATACTACCCACCCCCAGGCCCTCACCCTCCCATGGGCTACTACCCTGCCCCAGGCTCCTACCCCTCTCCCGGTGGCCACACGGCCACAGTGCTCGTCCCACCTGGAGCTGCCACCACAGTCACAGTGCTGCAGGGAGAGATCTTCCAGGGTGCCCCCGTGCAGACTGTGTGTCCCCACTGCCAGCAAGCCATCACCACCAAGATCTCCTATGAGATTGGGCTCATGAGTTTCCTTCTGGGCTTCTTCTGCTGCTTTGTGGGGTAGGTGCTRCAAGCAKAGYTGGGGCCTTGGTGGGTGCTCAGCCYGGTCCTGGTAGCCCCAGTGCTGGTGGCATGGGCTGAGGTGTTGGGCAGGGTGGGGACCTTGGCACAGAGGTGGCACTGGAGCAGCAGAGGGGCTCCAGGGGTGATAGCCCCTAAATTAYTCACATCTCTTGCCCATGACCGAGTGAACCCCATGCCCAGGGGCTGCCCCAGCTCAGCATCTCTGGCTCTCTCTGTGCTCCAGGTGTGATCTCTGCTGCTGCCTGATCCCCTGCCTGTTCGATGACTTCAAGGACGTGACACACACGTGTCCCAACTGCAAGGCCTACATCTACACGTACAAGCGCATGTGCTAACAGCACCCYGGGAGCCACTGGAATGCCACCGGCCCTGTCCCGCTGCCGTCTGTCTCCGCTGTGCATCACTCCTCGCTTCCCCCGCCGGTGGTGTGTATGTGTTATCCCCGGCTCCCTCCCACGCAGAGCTGCTACCACCTGCCCCCAGCTCTGCTCCTCACTGGGAATAGTTGGATTGGTGACACTGGTGCACAGGGGAGGTGGGCCCAGGCCGCAGACGCTGTGTGGGGGCTGCCCTGCAATGCACAGGAGTGGGGAGCATCACTCTGCACCCCAGTATGCTCTGGSGTGCGAGCGAGGCCCCCCTCACCTGGAGCAGCCCTGGGAAGAGCAGCAGCTGCTGGAGGTGCCCACCCCAGTCCCATAGTGCAGGGGGTGCCTGGCTGCAGGGWTATGCTGGGTTGGGAGCACAGGAGTGGACTCGAGCAGCCCATGGTGCCCTCAGAGGATGCAGCACAGCCYTTGTGGCACTTTCAGGAAGGGGCTCAGTGGCAAGGAGACAGAGGGTAGTGCCACACACCAGGTTTCAGTGTGGTTGATGGCATCCTCCAGCCCCGTGGCAAAGCCCCTTTCYGAGGAGAGGCAGAGCTGCCTTTGAGTGCACAGAGGGGCCCGGCAGCAGCACTGCACCCTTATCAGTACCTCCGTCCTGCCCAGTGGCTGCTCCAGCTGCATGCGCCTCCTCCTAGCCCCGCCGTGGCTCTGGGGGCAGGGACAGCTCCTGGCAGCCCTTGCCCCCTGGCAACCTGAGAGCCAAAACTGCACCTGGCATGTCCTGCCTGCCTGGCCCRTAGAGTAGAGGAGTTTGTTACCAGGCTGCAGCTGCAGAGCCACATCCTGGGCCCAGTGGGGGCTGTGAGGTCCTCCTTGCTTGTGGGTGTAGGGGGTATTTTTAGCCCACTCATGTGGGACAGAAGGAAGGGACAAGCAGGCAGCAACAGGAGCTGCCAGCAGCACTCTCACAGGAGGGGCAAGAGGACCTGGGAGCCAAGTTGAGCCTCTCGGGGCTGCTCCTCCCTCCCCTGGCCCCTGCAGCTCCCAGAGCGATGTGGGGAGGTCTCTTAGTACACAGGTCTGCAAACACAGCCTGGCCTGCACAGGCAGGTGCTGTTTGCTCAGGGGTGGAACTGTGGCACTAGTCAGTGTTTTTATGTAAATAAAYAATAGACCCTGAATTTGTGTACATCTTTTCTTTTTCCCTGCTCAAAATTTACAGCAGATCTGCCTGCAGGAGAGCTGAGGATGAGGAGACTGGCAGGTTGGGGGTTTAGCAGTACCAAGCACAGGAGGAAGAGTAGCAGCTTCCCTACTCTACCACGAACCTCTAAGCATGGGGTTGCCATGGCCCTGATAGCACCTGGCTGTGTCCTCTGAACAGGGCAATGGGCATCCCCACATGGAAACTGCCAGGGGAGACAGCAGGGACAGTGGGTGCAAGGGCAGAACTTTCTCAAGGACTGCATGAGTCAGAGACGAGTAAAATGGTGTGGGACTCCACACTCCCTTTCTCCCCATTAACCCCCTCCCCAGCCTCCCCATTCTCCCAGTGACATGCTTTTGGCTTTCCCCAGCTACAGCGTTGCAACTTTTTATTTCAGTCAAGACTTCAGGAAAAGTAACCAATAACCAACCCTCAACCCAAAGTTGCACAGTACACATCTGTCACCTCCATACCCCACCATGATCCTGCCCCCAGACCCAGGGAGCTCCCTCCACCAGGTGTCAGATTTGGTCTCCAGGACATCACACCAAACAGGACACTGCTTTGAGCTAATAGCCCCATAGCACAGCCTCAGCCTCTCAGGGTAGGAAAGCAAGTGCTTGTTGCTGAAAAGGCTGATGACACATTCTGGGGATGCAATCCAGGGCAGGAAACCCCCTCCAGACACTGCTCCAGGGACGGAGATGAAAAGCCAAGCATGTGAAGCCTTTGTCAGGATAGGACATCTCTAGCCTTAAAAGCTGTCCCAGTGCTGCAGTAGAATCCTCACCTCCTCACACTGGCCAGTCCTGTGCATGTCAGCTAAAGACGTGGTGTTACAGCGTGTGCAAGGAGGCTTGGACAGTCCCGCAGGATTCCTGTTTATTTCCTCACTCCCACTCTGCAGCCAACTCACCACCAGCAAGGGAAAGGTCTGAAAATGGGCAGGGCACATCTCTCCCCTTGCCCGCAAGCAGAGCCACGTTGTGCCCATCACAGGATGTACCAGGCTGCAGCTCCTGCTGCCASGGCCACACAGGCTGCCAGCACCAGCTGCACCAGGGGCTGCCTGGCCAGGYCTATGGCGGTGTGGAAGGGGCAGCCAGGGCTTGCTGTGCCTGCAGGACACAGAAAGCACCGTTAGCACTGCCCCTCTTATGCCATGTACCCGTGGCAGCTCTCTYGTTGCCACCACCTACCCAGTTTGTCTGCGTAGTAGGGGCATTTGCGGATRTCTCCTTTTCCATCGTGGACTGGAAAGCCTCCATCTTGGGCTTCTTCTGCCAGTGACCTGCCGATCTCGTCCAGCTCATTGAACACCTGCAAGTGGTCACAGCAAGCATGTGAAGCAGGCAGAGCSAGGCAGCTCTCAGCCAGATCCCTGGCACCACTTGGGAGAACAGGCAAGCACCACTGCTGCTTCCCTGTCCCCACACTTACAGAGCATCTTGCTGTGTTGATAACTGGCACACCTTACAGTTCTAGRAAGGCATAGCCCATCCCAAGAGCACCCAGTCAGAGCCAGGAGCAAGGCAGCACCACCCTGCTGCTCACCTCCCAGCCTGCTGTGGGTGGAAATGGGAGGCAACAGGCTCTCCTCTCCCTGCTGCAGACCCTTGTAGGATCCCAGCTTCTGCASTGGTCAGGCAGCCCCCTCCCGCTGCTGTGGGATTCCATAAGGATCCTGACAAAGGAGCCAACCACATCCCACCATATTTCTGGCCAGTTTAAATCACACTGACCTGCTACAAGCACAGATTAAAGCTTCCATCCGTAGCTAAATCTGTGTTCATCCCCTGGGGCAAGTGGCAGCTCAGTCAGGTTTGATGAGAGGCAAATGCTATGGGAGGAACAAGAGGCTCCAGACATTTTTGACCATAGGACAACACGTCAGACCTGAGACAGGAGATGAATTGTCACCAGGGTGGTGCAACACACTCAAGCTATTTGAGGCTGTCTCAGGACAAGAGCTCTGCTCCCCTCACTGCTTYACAGCCACACAGCCCACGGGAATCTTGAAGTCACAGTAATTTTGCTTTAATCAAAGGGCTTGGCTATGATGTTGGAGCATGGGAGGAATGCCTGCCTGACACCAGCTCCAGAAGCTAGTGAAACAGCTTGTAAAACTAGAATCCCAACCCCTCAAGGAGGGCCTGCAGTGGTCTCAGCCCCAAACCACTACCTGGGTGAGTGGTATGACTGAATGAACCTGGGCAAGATTTAAAAGCTGCAGCACCCACACAYACCGGTCCTCAAGGGATTTGTTTAGTACCTGCATGTTAAATCTGAAGGCTTTGTTGGCCTCTTCCACTATCCTTTCCTTAGTGTTCTTATCCAAGTCCAAGGCATTCATTCTTGCTCTGTAAAGCTGCTTGAACTGCTGYGCATTGGAAACGTTGTCAAACACGTAGAATTGGATCCCTTCCCCAGTACTGGGCAACTTCAGGGCCCTCTGGGCTACCTTCTTCAGCACCTGGCCACCTGAGAGGTCCCCCATATAGCGTGTGTAMGCGTGAGCCACCAGCAGTTCTGGCTCGTGTTGTCCCACATGATGGATTCTGTCCACATATTGCTGAGTTGCCTCTGAACACTGGATCTTTTCTTTCCAGTCTTCTCCATAGAAGTATTTGAGGTCTTTGGCCAACGCTTCTCTCCGGTGAAGCTCCACAGGGAAATACAGAGGAGCAAAGACTGGGTTGTTTTTGTTGCGATCAATCTCCTCTTCCAGAGCAGAGTAGGTGAAGTGCAGGGCCACAGTGGCCAGCTACAGACAGAGCACAGCTCACGTGAGAAGCTTGTCACTGGATGGGCACAAGTCACCTCATGACTGCTCCCCCCTGCATGGAATTGGGGTAAACAAGAGGAAACCCCCAGGTCCAGCACAAAATCAGGCTGGAGAGCCTATACCAGGCAGGCACTGCTTGAAGGAGCAAAGGCTCTGCTCTACCTCCATAACACCCCCAGCGTTGTGGGGCTCTGCCTTSGAGTCTGCATCAGTCACTGGGTACATCAAACAGACGGAAGCAGAGCCATACTCACCTTGAAGAGCTCCTTCTTGATCCRTCCCTTCAGGAAGTCCTTGACAAACTGAGTGTTCTCTGCACGGTCGTGCGATTCCTTTGTGCCCTCCTTCAGCAGCTCCGAAAGGTCCATGGGGCTGCAGGCAAACAGGAGAGCTCCTTTCACCCCACTGCCACACACAGCAATGAATTAGTCCCTGCTGTGTTCTGAGGGATCCCCCCCGCCACCATCCCAGCTCAGAGAATATACGAGGTGGGACCCTCAAGCCACCCTGCACGTTGACCTAGCAGCAGCTGGAGGAAGCAGCAGGGTGGCAGCAGCCCATGTGCCAACCAGACTCGCCACTCCAGGAGGGCTGGAGCTTAGCAGGGGCTCTGGCCCAGGATGCTGAGGCAACTCTAAAGGACCCTCTAATCCCTGCACCATGATTTTTGCTTCTCATCCATGTGAGCCAAACAACACTAAACAAGCAAGCCTTGAGCAAATGGAGAGCGACTATCAGGACAGGCTAAAGGGCACAGGGTCTTGGTGGTATTTGCTGCTGGAGAAGGAAAAAGGCTCAGATGGGAGTAGATGCACACACAAGCAGGTCCCCAGCTTTCCCAACTTGGATATCAACTTTTGGAGAGGAGAGCTGAATGGCACAATAATGTAAGAAGAGCCTTAAAACGTTTATTTCTCCTGAATCACACTGCTTTTGCAAGTTTCCACAAGGTGTCTTATTTTAAAACAGACCCAAAACATTAAAATCTATGATTTTAGACTACAGGCACAGCACCTACCTGGACACTGGTACAGTATCAACACATACACTCACTCAAATCATGCCAAAGTGCACCTTATGRTTTTCATCACTAGTTTGCTCCAGGTTGCACATTACTGTTAGCTCCAAGGGAGACTTTGAACACTCCAGACCCACTGAGTGTGCCAGGAGAGYCAGGAAACATTAACTTCTCATGAAGCTGAGCCTGTCAAATCAAAGAAGTTAACCAGCCTGTCTAGGTCTTTTAGGAAGTACCCTAGTCATCCTTTCCATTTTCCAAGTCTAAAGACTTGGCTTTATAACATGTGTGTGAATTTGTTTTTTAAAGTAACCGCCTAGAAAATGTCCTTGCCTAGACCTGTGTATTCTGCAAAGGCAAGAGCTCACCAGAACAGAGTTAACCTCCTAGAGTCATCTTTCAAAACAAGAAGCGGCTGTCACATAAGCCTGCCCAGCAGGCCATGGAAAACTGTCTCCCTTTGGCCAGGAAGATACAAACACAACTGCCAAATAGTCRAAGTGTTTGTGAAATGTGACTTTGATAGTAGAGACTAAAAAAAAATAACCATAACCATGTTGTCAGCCCTGCCAGATCACTCCTTCCCATCGCTTCCATCCTTCCAGTAGTTTGACTACAGAGATTTCACAGCATGTATTTTGATTAGTCACTTATTGTGGTCCTGCACTTCTTCCACATGAGAAGGATCACTCCTTTACCTGGAAGATCTTCTGCCTTGCCTGAGGCTGTGTCTGTGCCACTGTGTAGGACRGGACTCACCTGACACTGTCATCTTCTGCTTCCTCATAGCGCAAGACATCCCCTTCCTCTCCTGTCTCCAGGGCTGATGGCATTGTAGTCAGTGCTGGGGATCAMTCTGAAAGGCAAAATCAGAGACGAGTTTTCAGGGGAAGCTGCCTTAGCAAAGGGATGGGAGTGAAATATTGAACAGTCCAGCAAGAAGCTCTCTGAGCTGCTCCACCAGGCAGGGCAGTGAGGAGCCGCCTCTGGCTGTATCCACCTCACACCCTGCACTTCCAAGGAAGCAGATTTGCCTGTTCAGTTCAGCCACCTCAGGTGAACCTCAGCACTGACACYCAGTTYACAAAACAYTAACCTCAGAGGAGACCTACAACASAGCAAGCAGCCTGCATTCTGTTTCCCACTTCAGGATGGCTCCCAGCTGAAGATGAGACCTCCATGTTGGGSATCTGCACTGAAACTGTGAGCAGGCTGCTTTGCCCTCATGCTACCAAATATTTCCCCCAGTGTCAAACTCTGAGCAGAGTAACAGGAAGGGGAAGCCCCTCTCCTTCACTCAGGAGGAAGAACAAGCTACATTTCCACAGCAGTACAGAGTAGTACAGAGCTTCCCTGGAAGGAAGCRGTGGTGCATTAGGCCAGCTGAGCTCTGAAGTCAGGCAGCTCACAGGGGAAACAAGAACATTCSCTGTGACAGAAGAGGAGGACCTTCCAAAACAGGGGCAGACTTCACTGCTCTGCCTTTCCTGGGCCACTCTCCAAGCAGAGCGAGCTGCAGAGAGCTCCTGTTCCCACTCACACCCTTCTCTCCTGCCTGGCAGGTTTTACTTCCAATCCYACAAGTAGCTGGGTTCTCCCTCCTCTTTGCAAAAGGAAACAAAAYCTCCTTGGATGTAACAGGATGCACAAGCCTTACCCAGAAGCARGAACAAGACACACTTGGATTATATTGGCTGAGCACAAAAATCCAGGCACCTCATTTATAAAATGGACCTGTAATCAGCTTTGTGCAGAGCAGCAYCACCACCTTACAGGCAGCCTTGGCAGAGGAATGAGGAGCTAAGCTGATGCTGGCTCTTCAGAAAGCGCTCACCATGAGAACCATCCTCATGCTGCCCCCCTTCAGTTCAGCTCCCCCTTACAGGGCTGCATCCATGGATTCACTGCTCAAAGCTGGGGACTGGGAGAACCAACAAGCAGCTGCCTTGAGCTGGTCAGCACAGGGCCAGCACTGGCACAGCCGCTGCTGGAGCCCAGCTCACATGAACACACCAGTTAGAAATTAATTGCCCTTCAGTTGCTCACCACTGAGTTTCTACAGCCCTGCTTCACAACGACCTCAGTACTGTCCACTCTCCAGCCAGGAGCACAGCTGAGCCACATCCTCAGGTACAGCACAAGGKCCCCCCAAGCTCAGGCACAGCACCTGCTCTGGGGGGACTCATCACCAGGTGAAGGTTTYCYCTATAATCACAATCTTTATGGTCCKTGGGACACAGCCTTCCTCAGGGGAAGACTGACCAAATGCATTACTTTGTGATGCCAGGAGCCCAGGGCTGGGACAGAAGTCAATCTGGGTCATTTGGGGTGGCAGCCCTATATTCTCATCACCCCTCCCTTGACATGGCATGGTGCAGCCTGCCCACCCCAGGATAAAGGTCAGAGCAGAAACCAGCTTCAGCTGCTGTATTGTCTATGCAGTAACTCACTAGACAGCTAAACTCTGGACTGATCTTCACTCCTCACACAGCTTCAGCCATTGGGAAATGCCCACTGCAGAGAGGGGAAACCAAAGCACAAAGGCAAATGACCCACCTGAGCTCAGCCAGAAGCCTGTTGTGGACAYAGGGGGAACAGGCTACACACCTCCTGCCAGTGCAGATCACCAGCTCTGTGACACCCTGCCTGCCTGTTCTGCTGCACATCAAGAGATGCAGTTCCCAAAATGAAACTAGACAAACTAGTTCCAATTTATCTTAGACTCCCAGAAAGCCAGAGTCCTGGAGGTGAAGTGTGCTGTGCCCACATGCCCGCAAGAGCTGCTGGTACAAAGCAGCAGGTGAGAGCAGAGCTACAGAACACCTGAGCACCACTCATYCCTTGGGAGAGGCCTGAAGGCTCGCATCAAATCTACCCAAAAGAATATACCAGGTCAGGTCTCAGAAATCAGCAGCAATGGCTCAAGGCTCCCAGTGGTCACACATAGATGACCCTGAGATCATCACATCTGCTCACTCATCAGAGCCTCCACTCCCACACTGAGCACACTCATGTTCACACAGRAACTTGGTTTTCCACATCACAAAGGGGGACCTGGTGGTCACAGAAGCCTTTACCAACCCTGTTAGTAGTGCTGTAGAAGCACAACCAATGGTGAATGACTGTCCCAGGAGCACTAACTGCTGCTGGGAGCAGGGGTTAGCATGAAAAAAGTCATTGAGGGCCTTTGGTGCATTCTCAGACTTGTATCTCTCCCAGCGTGTTTTGCAGGGCTCACTCTGACACTTGCCTCTCCATGGCAATGGGCAGGGCAGTGGTAACACCAGTCCCTGTAGCCCCAGGCGAGGGCAGAACATGCGCAAGAAARTCTGGAAGCTCAGATTTTTCCCAATATAGTCTCTAGCACAGACTCCTCCCCAAAAAGACAAGTCGGCACAAACCAATCCCATCCTTCCCAGTGCTGAGTTATTGCAGAACCRGGAGGGAGGGAAGTCAGAGCCATTGTGCCTAATGCCACCACACATCACTGCTCTTACTGAAAAACTGGCAACTACAAGCTCCAGTCTACAGTCACATCCCTGGTTTCTCTGCTCTTATGAAAAGAAGCGTGTCCCACATGCCAAGGAGGAGGTTCAGGCAGCTGCCCACCTCCTCTGCAGAGGCTGGAATGTCATTTCATTTGCTGCAGGGAGCTCTGCTCAYCCAGGACCTGGCTGATGTTCAGGGTAAACACAGACCTCCCCAGTACCTGGACAGAGCCTGTCTGGAAGCAATCCAACATCTGCTAGTTGGGATGGCAGAGCTGAAGAGTGGTGAGAAGGCTTGGTAAAGAAAACATCAGCATTCCAAACATTTTTTTTTTCCCAATGACAGCTTTCAAAACCCCTGAGGAGGCACCTCTACCTCATCTAGATGYGTGTAGTTTGCCCCTGCACACAACTCCTCAGCAAGCTGCATGCCCCAGATGCACAGCTGTTCTTTTCAGGGCAAGATGACATTTAATCCCAATAATCCTGTGCCTTTTGAAGGCCTTTTGACTGCTGCCGCAGGGAAGGAGGACTGGAAGCCCTGGTTTTGCTTGGGCACTCTGGGAGAAGTCCAGTAACTCACAAACACCCCAGCAGTACAGAGTTCACACCTGCTGTTTAACTTTCATGCAGCTTCAAGGCATTTCCCCACACACAGAGCCCAGAGTGTGGCTGAACCTACCAGAGTATCGCTGCAGCAAAGACAAACCTCACAATCCCAGCCCTAGAGGCTTGAAGAATCATCCCAGAGGTTGCCTGGCAATCCCAGCAGGAGAGATTCTCATCTCCTTCTCCATATCTAGGGAGGGATTTAGCACTGGTTGCTCCTGGAAATGGAGCCTCACAGACTACATTACCACATTACCTGATCCCAGGTATGTTGMAGACTTCACCTGGACACAGCCTAAATTTAGACAGCAATTCAAGTCCAAGACACTTCTAGCAGTACCTACACAAAAGCTACTTCTGTCTCCCAGAGCTGCAGCCCAGCACTTCAACRAACTGACCAAGGTGAGCTCAAAGACCTTGYCCAGTTCTGTCCTTGGTRGTGGCCCTTGTRTCAGGCACCCATTTAAGAACCTGTTTCCTCACCTTGGCTATRAGAACAGCCAAGGGGTAAGTCAGTCAAGGTTGAATCTGCAGTGACAAAGAACACATTGTGAGAGACACACACGAATACACCAAACAGCCTTTGCTCTGGGGAGAGTCAGTGCTTGCCCTGCCTGTCCCAGCACACTGTCAGCTGTGCCWGGAATGCACYAAGCAGGGCCAGTGACAGGCACTTRGGACTAAYATATGCAATGCAGCGCTTGTGCAAGTGTTGAGGCTTAAATAGGACGTTTGTTTCACCCAGTAATGGAAAAGCAGGGACAGCAAGAAGCCTTCATTCTTCAAGGACTTCTCTGAGCTCGGTGGGGCCAAGGAGAACCAAGTGGCCCCGTCGYCACTGGGAACACCGAGCGCAAGGTTCCTGTCCCCAAAGCCCCGGGCGTCGCTCARGAGCAGCCGTGCAGAGTCACTGCGGGGCTCTGAGGGCCCCGTGCTAGCGCACAGCTCCGCTCGCCGGGCAGGCACTCGCCCGCGGGCACACACGGCAGGATAGGAAAGGCTGACAACGGCCGGCAGGGCGGGTGGGCAGCACCCGGCTCTGCACCGGCACACGGCTCGCGGGAGGGCACTGTGGGCCCAGGCGGCCCGGTCCGGGTCAGGGCGGTCAGGTCGGCCGCTACAGCCTCGGGCCCCGGCAAGCAACAGCGCCGAAACACGGCTCTGAGGATGCCCGGGCGGGTTACCCTGCCTAGCGTCCCCCTTCCGCAGAGTACCCGGGCCCACCCGCCCTCGGGAGCGGGCAGAGCCCCGCACTGGGAGTCCCACGGGAGAGGGGAAGGCCGCGGGCTCACGGCAGGCCGCGTTGCCATGGGAACCAGCGCACACTCACCGATGCTGCCGCCACCCGCGACCCCCGGCGCCAAACAAAGACCCCGCACGGCCGGCCCGGATTTATCGACCGGGGGGTCACGGCTCGGCCAATCAGGAGCTGCGGACGGCACGCGCCGCGATTGGTGAAGGCGGCCCACACGCCCCGCAAGGGCCCCCCTTCAGTAGGCGGGCGGAGCGCGAGACGGCGCACGCACCAAAGCCGCTATTGGCGGAGGCAGCCGGGGCGGCCCTGGCCCCGCCCCCAGGGGAGGCCGGAGCGCAAACCCGCGCATGCGCAAAGCCCGCCGCGCGCGGGCAGCCGGGAGTGGCGCCCGAGAAGGAAACATGGCGGTAGTGCTGCGGTACCAGCGGCTTCATTGGCGGCTGCAGTGACGGCACCCGGCGCAGCTCTCGTTCCACGGCCCCTGCAGGGCTGGGGGAACACCCGGGACAGCAAGTGCAGGGGGCC